CTCTGAGACTGAAGAAGTCTCTTGGAAGAGAGACGAAACATTTCATTAAAAAAGAACCCGTCCAGARGACCTATACAATTTTTTTCCTACTAAAGGGTTAATTTCTTTCTTTCACCATTAAAAAAAAACTTTAAAAAAATAAACTCTTAAGTGAGAGCCATACCAGAGGGCTATTTTTACCAGACATGTTGGGTCGTGTTGAACAGTCCTTTGAGCTCAGGAAGGACCTGCAGTTTTCTGAGCAGTGATAAGAGCTGCCTACATTTTTAGGGTTTTTATATAAGGGGGCTTCTTTTATTATCTTCCTTTGCAACACTGAAGAGTTGTTTTTGAAAGAAGACAACGTTACTGCCTTTTGAACTTCAAAACTCAAATTTAACGAAATGAAAACAAACTGTGAAAGGTCAACAAAGTTATAAAGCTTTCCTAACGCAATTCTGTTGTTTCTATTAAATATATTCAAGTTGAGGCAACATAACCTTTTAGTGTTGATTCAGATTTATACCATACCATAACACTTTTACTTATAAAGCACTTTAAACAGCACAAGGCCAACCAAATTTATGTACCAGGGAGACATTTCAGGGGGATGCTCAAATTAAGTTTGCCATGATAAATGTTGCTGAACAACAAATGCTTTTAATCAGTTAAAAACATCATATTCATATTGCCAGCAACAAATTGTGAGATCTCGCAATGGAAACACTTAAGAGTATGTTTTCTGTAAAACATAAAACCATTTCTTTTCTGGTTTGATAAGGTCAATCAGCTGTGGTAACCGATCGTAATGTTCATGAGTTATAGATGTATTTTCAATTATTCTTTTCTGCAAGTTTGATTCAAATACGTTCAGTGGTTCATGGGATATTTTGCTAACAGAAAAACAGGGTTGTCATTAACAGTCACAGACATAGAAACATTATCTCATCCCTTCGTCGTTTAGAGATCAGTAGTCCAAAAACCACGATGCCCGAATGAATCGTTGAACGAAGTTGAGCTCAAAACATGGTTTTCTTTTTTTAGAAAAAGAAGTATAAATCACTAATTTGGTGTCTTTTTGAAGGAGTTCAGTTTTTTTTCCTGACCCCCGAACCCCTCCACCCAACACAACAGGATTAAAGGAACTCATTGCAATGTCAAAAAAACAAAAACAAACAAACAACGAAAGCGACTGAAAATGGATCAACAACGATGACGTTTTGGATGAAGATGTCTATAAATTCTGCAAATTTATGTTTATCTTCTCACCTAAATGTGGAGCTTCTACGCTCGTCTGTTTGTTCACCGATGCAGACTACAGCCAGACTCAAGCTTCTACGTGTTTTTTTTTTTTTTGCAAATTCAGCCAAGTGCTTTGTTTACATCGAGTGAGTACCCACATTTCAGAATTGCATACACTGCCTGGCCCAATAAAAAGTCACACCCTGTTTTTAACTAATCAAATAGGTCAGAGCCTCGCATAGGATAATTACTGCACAGGTGAATGTGTTTCAGCTGGCAAGTTATTTAACCCTGAATAATGCAGTGAGTAACTTCTTATTTGTTACACAACCACGTTGAAAGACCCATCTAGTGTTTGTTTCAGTAGGGTCAAATAATTGGCAGAGAAAATGTCTGAAAATGACTCAAATTGGATTAAGGATAGTCTAATACAATATAAAAAACTGGAAGGAAATTGGGGAAACATCATATTGCTGGAAGGAATCTGATGGTGATCGGTGATTCCTTAATTGTTTGGTAAAATCAAATCGTAGAAAGACAACAGTGGAACTCATGGTTGTTTAATAGTGAGAGTAAGGGCATTTCCACACGCACAGTGTGAAGAGAACTTGGGATTGGGACTAAACAGTTGTGCAGCTGTAAGAAAATCTTGTTTCAGTGAGGCTAAAGGCCCCTACATAATCAAAGCTGCAAAGTTAGCTCTCATTGTCACAGTTGGATGACAAAAATTGCATCATTCTGTTCTCAGAGTAGCATCTTTTTCTCACAGGCCAATGCCTCGAGTATTATGTGATTGGTCAGAAGTTCATGGGCCTGTTTGTTCATGCAGAAAAGCACTGAGACAATGGTGGCATTTTGCTTTAAATACTACACTTCCGGAGCCGGAAAAGGGTAGAGTGCCTTCTCCGGGTCAGGGGGGTCGTCCTGCCTCAAGTGGAGGAGTTTAAGTATCTGGGGATCTTGTTCACGAATGGGGGAAGAAGGGAGCGGGAGATCGACAGGCGGATTGGCGCAGCGTCTGCTGTAAAGCGGGCGCTGTACCGGTCCGTCGTGGTGAAGAGAGAGCTGAGTCAGAAAGCGAAGCTCTCGATTTACCGGTCGATCTACGTTCCTACCCTCATCTATGGTCATGAGCTTTGGGTCATGACCGAAAGAACGAGGTCCCGGATACAAGCGGCCGAAATGGGTTTCCTCCGCAGGGTGGCTGGGCTCTCCCTTAGAGATAGGGTGAGAAGCTCGGTCATCCGGGAGGGACTCAGAGTAGAGCCGCTGCTCCTCCACGTCGAGAGGAGCCAGTTGAGGTGGCTCGGGCATCTGGTAAGGATGCCACCTGGACGCCTCCCTGGTGAGGTGTTCCGGGCACGTCCCACTGGGAGGAGGCCCCGAGGAAGACCCAGGACACGCTGGAGGGACTATGTCTCTCGGCTGGCCTGGGAACGCCTTGGAGTTCCCCCGGAGGAGCTGGAAGAAGTGGCTGGGGAGAGGGAGGTCTGGGCCTGCCTTCTGAAGCTGCTGCCCCCGTGACCCGACCCCGGATAGGCGGAAGAAAATGGATGGATGGATACTACACTTCCAGAAGACAGTCAGAAAGTACGTCCAACTATCTCCATCACACATATAGTATAAAGATAATGAAATGGCTAAAAACTCATAACACAAACATTGTGCATGGAGGAATCTGGATAGTGAAAAGTGTGGTCCTCTAATATGACAAATTTGTGGCCAAATGGCAAATATCATAGTGGAGTCTAAGTGGGAAGAAATCATGTGACTTGTACAGCAGCAGGGTTTCCCAGGAGCTCTGCAGCGTCTCAGGAGTAGGGTTGGTCATAATCATCAGAAAAACATTAATCTATTATTTTTGGGCACTTGACGGTTAATAGGATTAATGACACCAGGCAGAGTCCGCTCGGTGCTCCTCTCTACTTCAAATATGAAAAACATTTTTTAAAAAGTTCTGTAATTTATTTATCTATCAACACAATTTAAAATTTGATGTGAAACCTGAAGTCTATAATTTTGACACAAATTGGAACCGATTTTTTACGAAGAGCAAATGTTTCCCACTAAATTGGTCATGTGACTAGAACATAAAGGTGTCCAGGGACTCCAGGGGATTAATTGTCAAATTAATCGTTATTGGCTAAATACAATTAATCGTGATTAATTTTTTTGCCAATATTGCCCATCTCTACTCAGGATGAAAGGTGTGTGTGAAAACGAACGCCTGGCAACCCACATGGCGAATAGACTGTTCAGCTTCACATCGAGTGTGCTGGGCCCTTAATTACAGGAAGCATAAAGATTGGACTATGGAGCAATGGAAGGTCGTGTGGTCTGACTACAAAATGGACAGATTGGTCCAGACTGACCCAGTTCCAGAATGATGGGAGCATCAGGGTATGGTACGGTGAATGGGATCTCATTGCTCTCCCCAAAAAGACACTGAGATTTAGTCAAACCTTCGTGTCCCTTAGATCAGCATTTCCCAAAGTCGGGGTGGTCAGGACCCAAACTGGGGTCCTGAAAAGATTTTCTGAAGTAATTACATTTTTGCCTTAGTTGTTATAAATGAGTGAGGTTAGTATATTTAAAATGGATAAATGTAGTATAAAAATATTGTTACTATGCCCATGTTTTGTTGACCTGATACAAATGTTTATCATCCATAAACAGTTGGGGGCACAGGTCTCTGCTACTGTTATTTTGTGGGTCAAAAGCTGAAAATTTTGGGAACCACTGCACTTTGGTTCCCAAAGTTGGGCTTGGGACCCAATTATGGGTCACGGAGCACCTTGGATAATCTCCAGAAATCAATTTAAAGGGTAATAAAGTAATTGCTGATGTAATATTTTCCCTATAATTATTACAAAAACACAAAATAAGTAAAAATAAGTATTTATATTTGTGTATAAGCTGTTTAGATTGTCAAAAAGCCTGTGTTTTTAGGGTTATTAACGAAGTTTATGTACTCAGACCAGTAATATTTGGGGTCACAAGTTTTTGCCGTGGATATTTTGTGGGTCAGACGATAAAAAGTTTGGGAACCACTGATTTAGATGACGGACACAAGGTTAGAAACACTCAGTGTTCTGAGCTTTTTCAGGAACCATGAAGGGGTCCCCAAGAATTATGTTTCTTTTTCTAATTCAACGCCACCATTGAATCAATGTAAGAAGAGAGGCGGCTGAAGTGATGCACCCATCATGCCCACTGTGGGGGCAGTTGGTTGGTTAAGGGTCAGCCACATTAGAGGTCCAAAGAATGAGGTCACCTGAATGACCAGGTTATTCCATCAATGGACGTCTTCCCTGATGGCACGGGCATATTCCAAGATGACGATGCCAGGCTCAAATTGTTTAAGAGTGGTTCAGGGGGCAAGAGTCATCATTTTCACAAAAGTATCAGCTCCAGAGTCCAGACCTGAACCCCACTGAAGATCTTTGGGATGTGATGAAGACGACTGAACAGTTATCCATATCTCCCGTCATCAATACAAGATTTTGACAAAAAGTTAATGCAACTCTGGATGGCAATACATTTTGTGATATCGCAGAAGCTTGTGGAAACGATGCAAACACAAAAGTGTGCCGCAATCAAAGCTAAAGGTGGTCTAATTAAATATTAGAGTGACCTTTTTGTTTGGCCAGGCAGTGTATCTGGTCAAGCACTGGAGTAAATTTTAACCGTACCATGTGGTAATGTTTAGGATAATCTTTTATGGTTGACTCATAGTTTGCAGTGGGTACCTATAAGTACAGAAAACAAGTGACTGCAGGTCATTGTCCAGTTGTCTTCATTTAAAATAATCATGTAGGATTGTCATTTTATAATAAAATAAGATTAGAAAAAATGGTCAAGGAAAGAAGATATTAGTATATACTGTATAACTGGACCCTTTGTCTCAAAAATACATTTTCATTCACAGACCACTAGAGGGGGATGCTGCTCTGTGTGTATCTGGTTGGCTTATTTATTAATCCAACGCCAAGAAATTCTCAAGTGCAACTGGTCGACGTTGGTCAGGCTGGTCCTACATAAACTGCGAACAGAAGTAAACTTATTCTGAAAAAGAGCTAAGAATGATTCCAAACTATCCTTCAAAGGACAAGAAATGTTTGTATAACTACTACACCTCCAATCTGCATGTGGAAAGGACAGAGACTTCCTGTTGGGTCCTTTGACCCGTCCACGCCCGGTCCACCGTCAGCAGGCTCAGGAAACTCAATCCCACCTCAACAGCAACACCTGTACACGATCCAAGTCCCACAACATGCTTTCATCACAGCACGCACACACGCCTCAGTAAATGGAATCGGTCACAGTGTGTGTGGTCCGGACTGCGTTCCAGAAAGGCGTCTGAATCCAAATCCTCTCTGCAACCACTACCTACAGTCTAGTGTCGCACCGGACTCTGGAATAAAAAGAGGGTGATTTGTCTGCGAATGAGAACAGAACTGGGACTAGATGGGAGTGGATCAATTCGAAGAGATTTCGTATGGACATACATTCCAAACTACCTGAGAATAAACTCTGATTGCGAAACACCCTGAAGCGAGGCCAGATGCTGACTCTGTGCAATCAACTGTGGCCCTTTTTGTCTTTTTTGTTGTTGTTGATGTCTAAATTATGTTCTTGTTGCCTTTGCCTGACGCAGGGTTTCACTTGTGACCTGATAGTGTAAACATAATCCTGAATAGTGCAGCTGTTTTCTTTATCCTGTTCCTTACTTAACACAGTTATACACAGTTTGGGTTTCTTTTTAAACAAGCATTTTTCTTTCTTCTCAAAGAGCTATATATGTGTGTGTGTGTATATATATATTTATTCATATATACGTGTGTGTATGTATATGTTTAGAGCTTATTCATACTGTGAATGTTGAAATAGAACACAACACATAATTTAATCAGAAATAAACTACCAGTTTAAAATGCATGCCCCTCCCCCTAACCACAGTGCTCCGTTCTCCCCTCTGGTGCCTGCACACCATACCTCAGATCCATCAGCTCCCTGCAAACAGCTCAGACATTATCAGGACAGAACGACAAGGTGGCGAGTCTATGTGACGGTGGATATGAAGGGACAGAGTTGCTACGTCATGCAGTGATAGAAGGCGGGTGGAGGGGGTCAGCACAGAGAGACGGAGGCTCCCTTGGTGGAGCGGGGAGGACCTGTTTGTTGGTGGGACAGTCAAGTTGTGGGGCGGTCCCAAAGACAGAGGTCAGTTCTGCTCAAGTCTAGCTGATGGCCGGGCTGTCTGTCGGCGCCTCTGCAGTCTCTGAGGGCGAGCTGGGCTCCTCCGGGGGGTCGTCTGTGCTGGTGCTCGTGGAGACCTGAGTGGGGATGCCGTAAAACGAGCCGGCCCCCTGGAGCTCTGAGGAAGCCTCTGCGTTCTCCTCGTCCTCCACCTCCGAGGGCGGGGCGAGGTGCATGGAGCCGGGAAGTTTGACGGGGCAGAACGCGGAGCCCGTCGGGATGAAGTTGACCTTGTTTTTGTCGGGGCAGGAGAAGAGGGGGACGGACGCCGATGCCGACTGCCTGGAGCTGCGGAGAGACGTGTGCAGTGTCTGAGCTCGGCAGCAGAGAAGGAGTGAAATTCACCAAGAATCTAACGTTTTGTTTTTACCTCATCTCCTCAAACGCTTTAATTTTCTCACATCCCTCTGGTGGCTCTCGCTTGAACATGTAGCTGTTGTTGGGTTTGGGTGAGGAGGCGAACTTTGGAAGTGGTGAGCTGCTTCCGCTGTCTGAACACAAACAAACATACAAATTTATAAACATCCATGATTCAAATTGTTCAGAAGGACAGTGACATTTCACGTGGGCACCCTTGTGTCATTTTACTACACATCCAAACAAATACTGACAGCAGATCGGCCTCAGGTTGTCCAGGTAATCAAAATATTTATTATACAACCCCTGGCAAAAAGTATGGAATCACCAGTCTTGGATGAGCACTCATTCAGACATTTCATTCTGTAAAACGAACTCAGATCAAAAACATGATACAATAATAAGGTCATTCCAAAGGTCAACTTGTTGGCTTTCAGGAACACTCAAAGAAATGAAGAGAAAGGAAGTCAGTTAATGTTACTTTTATTGACCAAGCACAGGGAAAAAAATATAGAACCACTCAATTCTGAGAAATAAGGTATGGAATCATGAAAAACAGATAAACAAAAGACCATTCAAAATACATCACTAGCTGGAAGGAATCTTCATATACTTGCAGTCTAAGAGGCATGGACTTGATGAGTGACAAACAGGATTCTTCATCAATTTGGTGCCAACTCTGATAGCAGTTGCCAGATCAGCTTTGCAGGTCAGAAACTTCTTGTGGACCTTTTTTTTCAATTTCCACCACAGGTTTTCAATTGGGCTGAGATCTGGACTATTTGGAGGCCATGACATCAACTGAATGTGTCTTTCTCCAAGAAATGCCTTCACTGTTTTTGCCCTATGGTACGATGCATTGTCATCTTGGAAAATTATTTCATCACCTCCAAACATCTGTTGAGAAAACTGTCCAAAATGTCAATGTAAACTTGTGCATTGATAGAAGAATGAACCACAGTCATCTCTCCAGTGCCTTTGCCTGACATGCAGCACCATTTCATCAAGGACTGTGGAAATTTGGTTGTTTTCTTCAGGCAGTCCTCTTCATAAATCTCACTGGAGCGGGACCAAACAAAAGTTCCATCATCATCACCTTGTCCAATGCAGATTCTTGACTCATCATTGAAGATAACTTTCATCCAGTCATCCACAGTCCATGATTGCCTCTCCTTAGCCCATTGCAGCCATGTTCTTTTTTGTTTAGGTGTCAATGATGGTTTTCTTTTAGCTTTCCTGTATTGAAATACCATTTCCTTTAGGTGATTTCTTATGGTTCGGTCACATACATTGGCTCCAGCTTCCTCCCATTAATGCTCCATCTGTTTAGTTGTACTTTTTCAGTTTTCAAGACAAATAGCCTTAAGTTGTTTTTCTTGATGCTTTGATGTCTTTCTTGGTCTACCAGTACGCTTGTCTTTAACAACCATTCCATGCTGTTTGTATTTGGTCCATRTCTTGGATACAGCTGACTGTGAACAGCCCACATCTTTAGGAACCATGTGTGAAGAGTTACCTTCTTCAAGAAGTTTCACAATCCTCTCTTTTGTTTCAAGAGACATTTCTCTTGTTGGAGCCATGGTTCTTGCCACTCCACTTCGTCCAGCAGCCCTCCAAGGTGTCATGACTGCAGGTGTTTTTAACTGCAGACTAACAAGCAGATCTAATCTGCGGCAGGTGTCCATTTAGGATAAATAAATTGACTGGGTGTTTCCTTATTTTCTACCTCCAATTTGAGTGATTCCATACTTTTTTCCTCAGAATTGAGTGATTCTATTTTTTTCCCTGTGCTCGGTCAATAAAAGTAACATTCACTGACTTCCACAATGTTTTCTCTTCATTTCTYTGAGTGTTCCTGAAAGCAACAAGTTGCACTTTGGAATGACCTTAATATTGTATCATGTTTTTGATCCGAGTTTGTTCGACAGAATGAAATGTCTGAATGAGTGCTCATCCAAGACTGCTGATTCCATACTCTTTGCCAGAGGGTGTATTGCACACCCCTGTGTTTGACTCAATTTCACAGATCTGTTTTTTTCTTGTAATTTGGTATTTTTATGCACAGTATTTGGCTTTTATTTTCATTTTTATCTAAATTCAACTGATAGTCCAGTACAGGAATTATTATTCTTATTTTATTTTAGCAACATATTGTTTCTATCTATGTATGTATCTACCTATGTATCTATGTATGTATCTATCTATGTATGTATGTATGTATGTTTGTTTGTATGTATGTTTGTATGTATGTATGTTTGTTTGTTTGTTTGTTTGTTTGTTTGTATGTATGTATGTATGTATGTATGTATGTATGCATGCATGCATACATCTATCTATCTATCTATCTATCTATCTATCTATCTATCTATCTATCTACAGTGGTTTGCAAAAGTATTCATACCCCTTGAACTTTTCCATATTTTGTCACATTACAACCACAAACATAAATATATTTC